AGTGTGCAGGATTTGCATGTTGGTTCAGGAGGGCTGTGTTGGGTGGCACAAAGAGCAGAGATGTTTTTGTTCAGAGGACAGTGTTGTGATTCTATGACTGACCCTTGTTTGATCCCTGTGAGGATTTAGGATCTGGGTTCTTCTGTCCCTTGGTTGCCTACAATGAACAAATTAGTTTTGGCTGCAGTCATTCAAAAATATTATTTCTTTTGATAATGGTTGATGTTAGGCAGAGCATTGGCTTGAGAGAATTTTCATTTTCTGATACTGCCTGTTCTCTTCTTTATGCTTTGCTTTGAGTTTCTTGTGCTTTTACTGACAGAATAGAAAATGTGTTGTAAGGGTGGATGGTTTTTTGCTAGTTTGCTCTTTTCCTATTTTATTTCTTCATCTCTCCATTAGTATATGAGGAGAATATAAGTAATTTCTATTACAACAGGTCTGAAGATGAACTGCCTGTGCTGGGACTGTGTTTGCACAGGGACACTAAATGAAAGTGTTACACCAGCCAAACCGTGCCGTGGCTGGGGTTTAGACTCAGCTCTTTCTGGGGAATCAGAAAACATAAAAAGAATATAAGGGTATAAATTAGAGTCTCAATGCAAGGTTTTCAATGAATAGAATATGTGGCTCATGTCCTTGAAGTACAAGGATTTGGTTTTAATGCAAGACCATCCCCTCCAGCACCACTAAAGAAGGGGAAGGAATCTCCCAGACTTTGTACCTACCAGCCCATGTGCATATTTTGGATGTCCCTGTGCATCTCAAATGGCACCTGACCTCTCTGTCTCTGCATCTGGGTGGACACATTTTGTCCCTCACAATTGTTTCAGGATACAATCCTGGGAAAGAGAATAAAAATCTCCTCTGGGCAGGTGTTATAAATTTGTTATGGAAATGTTAATTCAACCCCAAATCCTGCTTTGGCACAGAAGGAGGGCTTCCATGTTCTAAAGTGGCATTAGTTATTTATTTACTAGTTTCTGGGGAGTTGCTGTTTAAAGAGATGGATTGGTAGTGAGGCAATCTGATAGAATGTGTTTGGAAAAGGGGATATCACAGTGGTTGAGAAGTTGCTCTGGCCTAAATGGTTGTTTTTCTCATTTCATGGATAGGGAGGAAGCTTTCTGAAGGTGATGTTATGAGAAATGCATGCCTGGCCTTGGGCATGAGGTAAAACGTCCCCCTGAGCTGCCTGAGCTGGTGACATAAAGAAACAATTGAGGTTCTGCTCTGTTCATGCTGGTGTTAAGGAAACTTTCCTGTCTCCCCATCCAGGAGGCACTCTGGCAGTCCCACCCCCCACCAGAGACTTTCACTTCTGGGACCGAAGCCCCTTTGCAGGGGGCAGCTCCTGTGAGCCCACGGGTGCCCCTGTTGAGCCCCTGCACACCCCACACCCCCAGAGTCAGACCAGGTTTCCCTACCAGCTGCACACTGGGTTTCCCATAGCAGAGTCTCAGACGTCTGGATCTTTAAAGCAATTTAATCATGGCACAGTGGCACAGTAACACAGAAGCAGCTTGAGCTTGATGCCTCTGAGAAGGGATTCTCAGCTTGGGCTTTTGTACCCCTGCAGTGTATGCACATGATATTATGGGGTCTTCCTTCTGAATCATTTGCTCCTGCTGTGTCTCTGTGTGTCCGGTCACCTGGCTGGTGCCACAGGTCCCTGGGCCCTTTGTTGTGCACCATACCTGGGGCTCCCTCCATTTCCACACAAGCTGCAGCTCTCACTGCAGTTGCACACTGAGCTGTCTGCACTGAATGTGTTTCTCAACACTGGTCTACTTCACGTTTAGGGGCCCTGTTGTGGTGGGTTGACTGTGAGGAGCTGTCAGACCCTCAAGCCAGATGCTCCTTCACTCTCACTCCACAACAGGGCAGGGGTGGAAAATAGGATGGAAAAGCTCATGTGTCAAGAAAAAGACAGGGAGATGACTCCCCAATTACTGTCACAGACAAAGCAGACTTGACTTGGGAAAAATCAGTTGAATTTATTGCCTATTGAAAAGGGAGTAGGAGGAAGAGGAACAAACACAAAACTAGAACACCCTGTCCCCACCCCCCAGTCATCCCAGGCTCAACTTAACTCATTCTCAGATTCTCTACCTCCTCGTCCCTTCCAGCAGTACAGTGTGATGGGGAATGGGGGTTACAGTCAGCTCATAACAAGTTGTTTGCTTCAGTCCTTCCTCACTCTCTTCCCCTGCTCAAGTGTGGGTCTCTTCCATGGGCTGCAGTCCATCAGGATAAACTGGCTCCAGTGTGAGCTCTCCAGGAGCTGCAAGAGCTCCAGGAGCTGCAATCATTCACCCACCCCAGCTACTCTGTGTGGGGTCATCCAAGGGCTGAAGGTGGATCTCTGTTCCACTGTGGACCTCCATGGGGTTCAGCAAGCACAGCTGCCCCTCCATGGTCCTCTCCACAGGCTGTAAGGGAATCGCTTCTCCAGCACATGAAGCAACCCCTCTTCGTCCTTCCCTGTCCCTGTTTGCTGCAGGACTATTTCTCACAATTTTCCTCACTCCACACTGCCAGGTCTGTTTTGGCCTGTTCTTCAATATATCCTTCCAGAAGAGCCATGAGCATTTGCTGATGGGCTGAGCTGTGTCCTGTGGGGGGGTCCTTTGGAAAAACGCCTTCAAGTGGCTTTCCCTGGTACAGGGCAGCCCTGCCCTTACCTCGCTGAGACCCCCATGCACCCCCAGCTGCCAGCACCTGGCCGGAGCCCCCCGTACATCTGCCCATGGGTCAGTGCCAGTTGAAAGCAGGTCTTTATTCCACGCTGCACGATGCACACAAACAAGTAAAAGCAGAGCAGGAGAGCAGTCACACAGAGCAGGGCAATTGTGTTCTTGCAAGAAGTTGGGCAGAGAGGTCACAGAGGGCTGGTGTGGGCAGTGGGCTCTGCACCCACCTGTGCCCCCCATGGCCATTCCTGCATCCCTGTTTGTGTGTCAGTGACCA